CGATTTCAACCTACATTTTGCGTGCCTGGGCATAGCCAATCGGCGGGCCGAGTCCTTGCTGGACCGCGAGATCCTCGACCTGCTTTTGCGCCCCTCTGGCTTTGGCGCGGTGCTCAGAAATCCAGTCGAGGTGGGGACGCACAGGAGTGGGACCATCATCGACGTAGTGGCCTCTTCCGCCGATTTCCCCGTGAGCGTGGTGGTCGTGCCGTGCGGGTCCGCAGGTGTCCCGGGCGACCATGCGAGGCTTGACGTCGCCCTCCCGGCGACTTTCGCCGTGAACGTTGAGATGACGCTCGGCCGCAGTAGGTGGGGGCACGGGGACGAGTGGGACGCTGCGCTTGGTCACGTGGCGACGGCGCTCAGCTTCATTGGAGGCTGGGCTGGTGCCGTGATGAGGAGCAGGGAGTTCAGGGAGTGGACGGCCCGCGGGGCAAAACGAGGTGTACGACAAGGACTCTTGGACCGCGCTGTGTGGTACCGCTCGGTGGTGTACACCTTGGCAGGCCATTTCGGAGGCCTCGTGCTCGTGGCAAGACGCCCACCCCACGTGCGAGCGGCCTGCCCGGGCAGGCGTGCCGGGGAGGAAAAGGCAGCACTTGCAGAGGAGGCGTTGCAACCTGCAGGGATCGCCGCGCCTGACGCGGACCAACTGGCCTTAGAGGATGAACTCGCCGGCACGCGGGCCGAGCACCGGGCTCGGGCTCTGGACCGATATCTGGAGCTCGCGGCGACCTCCCGCGGCGAGGCGGAGAACTACGTGAGCGGGCTCCTCAAGCCGCGCGAGCCGCTGCAGTTGGCCCTCTGGGACCCAGATTCGGGCAGGCGGCTCGGCCCCGCTGAGGCGATCGAGGTAGTGACTGCGTCCATCCTTGGCCGGGGCGCGGCGGCGGGCCCGGGCGTGGCGTCCTTCAACGCGCAGGTCCGCGCGGAGGTCCGGGCAGCCCAGACTGCAGCGCTCCGCGAGACGGCGGAGGAACTCGGCGACCCCTTGTCGCCGGAGCTGGTGGCGGAGATCGTCCAGCAGGCTCGCGCCTCTCGCAAAACGCTCCACTTGCCGCGCGCCGCGGCAAAGGCAGCGCAGGCGCCGGGCCGCCTGGTGACGTGGGCCGTTCTCAACTTGGCGCTGGTTTCTGGCCTCTGCGCAAGTGAGTGGATGCGGGAGATATCCCCGATTCGCAAGAGGGGGCCCCCGGTGGTAAGCGACCCTGCCGTCCTCCGGCCCATCAGCTACGTTGGGGACCTTGAAGGGTTTCTGGATGCTGGTTGGTTGGCCGTCACCCGCCCGCTGCTGGAGCAGTTCGCCGGCTCTGAGCAGGCAGGGGGGCGCTATGATGCGACGCTCATGGCGGCTGGGCTGCTCATCGCGCTCCAGGTGCGGCGCGGGCTGGGGCTCCGCACGGTGGTCCAGAAAGCGGACCTGCTGCATGGGTTCGACATGGCCTGGCGCGACGGCGTGCTGCTGCAGCTGCGCCGGGCTGGACTGAGCGGGCGGTGGTGGCTCGCGGCGGCGGCATCCCTCAGCGAGGAGCGCGTGCGGGTGCGCGTTGGGCCCCTCGTGGGTCAGATCGCCACGCTCCTTGACTTCGGGGTGGGGCAAGGCAGGCGCGGGGGCGTCCACATGTTCAGCGCGCTTGTCCGCGCTCTCATTGACGCCTGCAAGGTCGCCGCCCAGCCGCTCCCACTCGCGGAGAGCGCCCCGGCGAGCGCCCCTCCCCCCTCCCTGCCGATGCTGCAGTTCGTCGACGACACGTTCGTGTTGCAGCCAGACGAGACGGGGGTGATGCGGGCCAACGCTGGCTTGGGCGCTTTCTGTGCCGCCTATCGACATCGCTACCAGGACGGCAGCAAGGGCCCCGCTGCAATGGCGGTGGGCTGGCCGGCCGTAGACCCCAGCAGGTGCGGCACCATCGGGGCCGTCGGGGTCCGCGCTGTCAGTCAGCTCGAGGTCCTGGGCATCCCGGTGGACGCGGAGCTCTCCTTGGATCCGCTCCTGACACGCACCTGCGCAATCCTCCGGGACGGCGCGCGACGACTGACGGCCGCTCTCTCGGACCAGGGGTTCGGCCTCCCCATGATCGTTGGTCAGGTCCCGAGCCGCGTCGAGTCCGCCGCGCTGTATGGCACGGAGCTGCTGGCGAGCCATGCGCGTGGCTGGGCCGCGGTCGCGGCCCAGCTAAACCGCGCATACTACGACGCGGCGAAGGCGCTCTTGGGGCTCCCTCCGGGCACGTCCTTTGGCGATGGGGGCTACCTCCGCGTCTTCCTGGAGACGCGACTGTTGACGCGCGTGGCCGCCAAAGTCGCCCAGCGCATCATTCTGGCGTGGGCTCGGCTGCTGGTGCTCCCCGAAGGCTCGCCCGTCGCGCCCGCGGTCCAGGCGGCGCTGGCAAGCGGCAGAGGCACTTGGCTCCAGGAAGCAGCCGCGGTGGCTCGGAGCTTCGGGGTGGGGCCGCCGCCCGACGAGCTGAAAACCGCGGCGGCGGAGGGACCGGCGGCCCGCCGCAGGGTGGTGCGGCTATGGGCGCGGTCCTGCGTTATCCCGCGGGTGCGGGAAGCGGAAAGGGTGTGGTTTTGCGAGCAGCTGGCCAAGCTCAACGACACGGGGCTGCTGCCGATCGCGGCTGTCCTTCCCCTGCGGCAGGCCTGGCCGGAGGAGCTCCGTTGGGCCTCCTGGGGCCAGACCCAATGGAGGTTCCACCGCGCCTGGTGCGTGGCGCGTGTCACGTCCGAGCTGCCAACTGCCATCTGGGGCGTGGGGGCGGCCCGCCTGCCGACCACCTGTGCCTTGTGCGGCCGAGAGCCGGCTGGGCTGCACCACCTGCTGGTCCGGTGCTCGGGTTCTGATGCGCTCCGTGCCGCCCTGCTGGAGGTATGGGCGCCGCCGCCGGGGCTGGCGGAGTGGGTGCTCGCCGACACCGACGACCTCGGGGAGCTCGCGGCGAAGGTCCGCTACCTGGGGCTCTCCTGCGCGGCGCTGGTGCATGCCGCGCGCAGGAAAAGATGCCTGCCTTCCCCCGACCTGCCGCGGCTGCTGCCCTCCTCCTCCCCCTCCCCCTCCCCCTCCCCCTCCTCCTCCTCCTCCTCCTCCTCCTCCTCCTCCTCCTGCTCTCACCCTCCCCGCCCTCCCTCGCATTCGCGCTGAGCGAGCCTGCAAAGCCCGCCCGACCACCCGGCGCCCTGTCCCACCTGCGGGGGGATCGGCCCCCGGGCGGCGGGGAGGCTGCGAGGCTCGCCCGGCGTTAGGGCCGGCCCCGAAGGGAGCGCAACGCACGCCGCGCCTGCCCGGCCCGCCCAGGCCCTCCGGGGTGACTGGGGGGCCCGGTGGCCCGGACCTGCAACAGGCGCATCCCCGGAGGGCCCAAGCCCGCTGCCCCCGCCGCGCTGGCCCATAGGCCCTCCGGGGTGGCGGCGCTCGGGGCGGGGCGGTCAAGCCCCGAGGGGCCTTCCCACACCTTGGCAGTCCATATTGGCAGTCCCCAGGAGGCCACAGGAGGCCCCGCGAGGCCACGAGAAGCGCTGGGAGGCAGCAGGAGGCCCCCGACGGCACCAGGAGGCCCCAGGAGCAGGAGGCCTCAGGAGGCCACAGGAGTGGCCAGAAACGTCGGAAGGATCGCATGGCCCCGGCCATGATCACTGCACCCCCCCCAGTCTTGGCCCCTCTCTCGGCCGCCTCCGAGCCTTCCTTGGCGCACTCGTGCCAAGCGCGGAGAGGCTCCGAGGGAGCCTCTGGGATTCCTGGGGAAACTCTGGACCCCCTTGCGAAGACCCAGGGAGGCCTCTGGTAGGCCCTCAGCAGCTCAAAGCAAGTCCCTAATCGGAGGCCCCAGGAACGCCCTGAAGGCCCCCCACGAACCTCTTCGCGGTGATGGCAGTGCCGGTGATGGCGGCAACGAACGCCTGACTCGCCCTGCCATGCCGGAATGACATGGCGCAGCCGGAGGCGAATGCAAAACCCGCACGATCACCAGGTAGAGCTTGCGCAGTTGAAGGGGCCCTGGGACACAGAAATAAATAGAGACAAATAATAGGATTCCCCATATTTTCCTATATCTTCTAGCTTTTTGTCTTCCCCCCCACTTCCCATGTTTTCCCAAATTTTTTGGGGGATCGAGGATTCATTGTGTCTATGTGCTTTTTTCCCTCCTGAGCAGTCCAGGCATGCTCTCTCGTGGTGCCTGCCTGGCCACCCGGCGCAGTCGTGGAGGCACGGCCACGCTCGGCTCGGGCGGCAAACGCCCGGCGCCGCCGGCCTGACGCGCAGCAAGTGTGACACACGAGTTGCCAGCTGACCGCGCTTGTTCCTCTCGCCCTGAAAAGGGCAATCGTCGCGCGGTCTTGCACGTTGCGTAGCGCGTAAGTGCAGATATACAGATGTACATGTATATATATATATATATATACACAGATACATGTCTATATATATGTGTATGCACGTATGTTTCTGTCTGCTTGTGCACAGACGCAGACATGTTCATCCTCACGCATCGCAGTGCAACCAAACGGTGGCAACTCTCCTCGGGTCGTCGCTCGATGGGCAGGTGGGGATACGCAAAACTTAGACGAAGAACGAAAGCACATAAACATAAACGTTTGGCGCTTCACTCGGATTTCTTGGATCCGCGCTGTGCCCCCCTCCCTGGCGCGCGGAGCGCGCCAGGGGCGGCGCCGGAGGCGCCGCCAGAGGGGCTCCCAGCGCGGATCCGAAAAACCGGCGCGGAGCGCCAAAAGTTTATGTTTATGTGCTTCTTTCTTCGAGTAGGGGATCGGCTACAAAATGGATTTACCCCAGGATTGGTTTTCTCGTCGAGTCTACGGAAAATACGCAGAAGTCTCAATGGATTTACAAACAGTCTAAGGCTTTCCTCGTAGATTCGATGGGGAATCAATTTTAGGGGCAAATCAATTCGGTAGTCGATCCCCTCCTCGATTTCTTCTTCGGAAATCCTGAAGACGCATGGCTTCGATCCTCCTCCCCGCCCCTTTGCCCCTCGGACCGCCTCCGCGGGCGGGGTGACCCGCACGGAGATCGTCGACGCTCGCTGCCCGCCGCCGGAGCCCAGCCCCAGCCTGCTCCGGGCCTGCCGGTGGGCGAGGCGCACGGCAACGTCGTCGCCGTCGCGCGAGGAGGGAGAGGCAGGGAGGGAACGCACTGAGAAGGGAGCGAGGAAGGAAGGGAGCGAGGAAGGAGCGAGGGATGAAGGAAAGGGATGAAGGAAGGGAGCGAGGGAAGGAAGGAAGGAAGGGAACGCACTGAAAGGGAGCGAGGGAGGAAGGAAGGGAGCGAGGAAGGAAGGGAGGTAGATGAAAGAGAACTGTACACATACACCGACTCTGGCCAGGCCCATCCTGAGCCCAGTATCGGTGCATACGCCCTCCTGCCTTGGCCAGGAATGTACATGCACCGACCCTGGGTCAAGGATGGGCCCTGCCAGGATCGGTGCATGTGCATAGATCTCTTCGCCCGACCAGGGTTTCCAACAGGACGGCGTCCCAAGTGATTGGGGAGGGCTGGGGCGGCTGGAGGAGGACAAGGAGGGGAAGCACCACCACCCCGCTGCTCGCCCACGGCCACTCGAAGCAAGCAGCCACACGACGACCGGCGAATCCTGGAAGAGGAAAGTGCAAGACAGCCCGAGATGCGCGAAGAACGAGCCGAACGTACTCCAACACACACACACACACATGATGAATACGGGCACCACATCCGAGTCCAGAAATATGATGCATGTGGCCACGCCCGTGGAACCACATAATTACAATAGTGCATCCACCTATATTACTTACCAGGAGGCCGACCACGGGAAGGTTACACAGCACCACTCTTCGAGACGCCTAGAGATAGCGACAACGCATCCAGTTCAGTTGAGTGAGCAAAGGGAATGCTCCAACACGATCGGGGGGAAAAGGACCAAACGCCCACAAGATAAGCTCCACGATCCGCTGCACAACCAACGGACACGGGAGAGACCCGGATCAGCAGAGCCGTCCGCATCGGCCGGCCGACGCTACGCCTGCCCCCTTCATCCGCGTCACAGCCAGCAGACACGTGTGCAACCCGGTTCAGCAAAGCCGTCCACCCCGCATCGGCCGACGCCCGCAGCGCCTGCTCCCTCAGTGCGCTTGACAGGCAGCAGACACCAGAGGAAAAAACAACGGCATCACAATTTCAAGATTCCGCGCGGGTTTCTGGGATCTGCGCTGTACCCCCTCTCTGCGCGCGGAGCGCGCCAGGGGCGGCGCCGGAGGCACGTGTGCAACCCGTTCAGCAAAGCCGTCCACCCCGCATCGGCCGACGCCCACAGCGCCTGCTCCCTCAGACACTAGAGGAAAAAACAACGGCATCACAATTTCGAAATTCCGCGCGGGTTTCTGGGATCTGCGCTGTGCCCCCTCTCTGCGCGCGGAGCGCGCCAGGGGCGGCGCCGGAGGCGCCACCCAGGGGGGCCCGGGCGCCGATCCAAGAGATCCGTGCGGAGCTCCGAAAGGTTTTGTGTATGCTGCCGTAGATTATCAGGAGGGGAAAAAACACACAGACACAATTAATCGGCGATTCCCAGAAAATATGGGAAAATATGGGAAGTGGTTGGGAAGACAGAAACCCAGAAAATATGAGAAAATATGGGGAATATCTTTATTTGTGTGTATTTATTTGTGTGTCCTGGGGCCCCTTCAGTATGAGTATGATCTCTCTTCTTCTTCGAGGGTGAGGCCCAGATCAGCGACGCCGTCCGTCCCGCATAGGCACACGGACGCTCAGTTTAGGTCGGGCATGTCCCCCTGCAGGCCGATGTTGGACGAGGAATAGAACATACCCAGAACAATTTTCCTAGACATGCCCAACAATAGTCAAACAGAAAACGTCCCCAGACTATTCTCTGACTGTTCTCGAATCTTCCTCCTGCAGAGGGACAGGCCCGACTTCAGGCTAATTGTGACCTCCTGCCCTGGCCAGGAATGTACATGCACCGTTCCTGGGTCAAGGATGGACCCTGCCAGGATCGGTGCATGTGCATAGTGCTCTTCGCCCGACCAGGGTTTCCAACAGGACGGCGTCCCAGGTGATTGGGGAGGGCTGGGGCGGCTGGAGGAGGACAAGGAGGGGGAGCACCACCACCCCGCTGCTCGCCCACGGCCACTCGAATCAAGCAGCCACACGACGACCGGCGAATCCTGGAAGAGGAAAGTGAAAGACAGCCCGAGATACGCGAAGAACGAACCGAAAGTACTCCAACACACACACAAACACACACAAACATGATGAACACGGGCACCACATCCAAGTCCAGAAATATGATGCATGTGGCCACGCCCGTGGAACCACATACAGTAGCGCATCCACCTATATTACTTACCAGGAGGCCGACCACAGGAACAGGCCCGACCTATATTACTTACCAGGAGCCCTATAATACTTACTTGTTCTGGAACCTTCCTCCTGCAGAGGGACAGGCCCGACTTCAGGCTACTTGCGCCTGCCCCCTCGGACGCCTCCCGAGGCGACCGCCCGGCCTCCCATCGGAAGGAGCGGACGGGGGGGCAGCGGGCGGCCCGCGCCGCCGAGAGGCGCGCGTGGCACGCCCTGCACGTCCGCGCCCTCCTCCAGGGCCTCTCCTCCTCCTCCTCCTCCTCCTCCTCCTCCTCCTCCTCCTCCTCCTCCTCCTCCTCCTCCTCCTCCTCCCTCCTCCTCCTCCTCCTCCTCCTCCTCCTCCTCCTCTCCTCCTCCTCCTCCTCCTCCTCCTCCTCCTCCTCCTCCTCCTCCTCCTCTCCTCCTCCTCCCCTCCCTCCTCCTCCTCCTCCCCTCCTCCTTCCTCCTCCTCCTCCTCCTCCTCCTCCTCCTCCTCTCCTCCTCCTCCTCCTCCTCTCCTCGTCGGCCGGGGGTGGCGGGCGGCCGGCGGAGGCAGAGCGTGGGTCGGGTCGGGCGAAATGGGGGGATAGCAAAAGGGGGGGGGTGAGAATCAGCTCACGTAGCTGATTTTCCCGGCGCCTCCGGCGCCGCCGGGAGGCGCCCATGTATCGAGGAATGGGCCCCTCGGCGGGGCCGAAACCAGCTGCATGCAGCAGATTTCGTACCCCCCCCTTTCCCAATCCCCCCCTTTCGCCCGGCCCGAGTGGGAGGCTCCGCCGGCCGAGAGGCGGGCGGGAGCTCGTCCAGGAGGTCCGCGATGCCGCTGGCGCCCGCAACCTCGAGGGGCGGCCTCCCCCAATGATCTATAGACGAGCGCGCCCCACGACTCGCCGAGGAACTGCTCGCAGACGTCCCCGATGCGCCGCAGGGGATCTACGCCAAATTGCTTGTCTTCCGGAGCAGACGTGCGTGTTTTCCGGAAGCCTGCGAGCAGGCACTCTGCGAGCAGCGGAACGCGCTCGGTGACTATCCGCGCCCTCCGCCAGAGACGGACCCCGCCGGAGCCACGGCGGGCCAGGACAGGAGACTGCACGTGGGCCGTCTCCCCGAGGGCGAGGCAACTGGAGCTAGAGTAATTCTGAAGCTGGCCGGCTGCTTGGCAAACGTACATTCGACGGAACTGTTGGTAACATTTGCCCCGTTTGGGCATACGGTCGGCCCATGAGCCCGGTAGGCCGCGCACCGGCAGCCGCGGAGCCACGAGGACGGCCCCGGCGCGCTTGCTCGCAGCACGGCGAGCGGAGGTGGCCCCGAGCTGGGAGATCTCGAGCTGCCGCCGTGGTGCTGGCCGCCAAAATGAGCACCCCCGTAATCACCCACGCCCCCTCCGCGTCGCACGCAGCGGGCGGCCGAGGCGACATCGAATGAGGAAACGCTCGGGCCAAAATGGCCACGGAGGAGGGGAGCCAGGAGGACGAGTAAAACACGACGAGGATGGTGACGACGACGACGCTGACGGAGACTAACCCGACGACGACGACGTTGACGACGACGACGGCGAAGACGACGCTGACGACGACGCTGACGACGCTGGCGACGACGCTGACGACGACGACTGCGGCGGCGACGAGGCCGTCACGCCCTGCGCCCGCCGAGGCCTCGACGACCGCCCCGGCCGCGAGGGTGCAGCAGCAGACGCCCATCACCTGGTCGAGGCGGGGAGGGACGGAACGGGGGAGGGAGGGCTGGGGGTGGAGGCAGGGGAGGCAGGAGGAGGAGGAGGAGGAGGAGGAGGAGGAGGAGGAGGAGGAGGAGGAGGAGGAGGAGGAGGAGGAGGAGGAGGAGGAGGAGGAGGAGGAGGAGGAGGAGGAGGAGGAGGAGGAGGGAGGAGGGAGGAGGGCGGAGGAGGAGGAGGAGGAGGAGAAGGAGGAGGAGGAGGAGGAGGAGGAGGAGGAGGAGGAGGAGAGCGAGGAGGAGAGGGAGGAGGAGAGGGAGGAGAAGGAGGAGGAGAGGGATGATGATGATGATGATGATGATGATGATGATGATGATGATGATGATGATGATGATGATGATGATGATGATGATGATGATGATGATGATGGATGAGAGGAGGAGGAGGAGGAGGAGGAAGGAGGAGGAGGAGGAGGAGGAGGAGAGGAGAGAAGGAGGAGGAGAGAAAGGAGGAGGAGGAGGAGGAGGAAGAGGAGGAGGAGGAGGAGGAGGAGGAGGAGGAGGAGGAGGAGGAGGAGGAGGGAGGAGGACGGAGGGTGGTCGGAGACGACGATAAGGGGTGGATGGGGAGGACGACGACGAGGGGGCGGGGAGGAAAGAAGAGGGGCGGGAGGATGCAGCATGAGCATCCAGAAGGCGGTCGAAGAGTAGAAAGGGAGAGAGTTGTTTCAACCAGCCACGACGAGCAATTCTGAGCGGGCGTGACCAGCACGAACACCACGACTCCAGAATGGAATACCCAGATCATCTTGCCGCAAAAACGCTAACCTGCGCCCTCGCCAACGCCATGTGCGAATGAATCTAGTGCGAGGCCCATCTTAGGACCAACGTAAACACATACGACAACCGAGCCACATCGCGCATGGTGTAGTGACGCCACGAAACTGGCACAATCATGAAGTAATACGGCGGGCCTCACCACCAACGCAAACAACCGATACACCCGAGCCGATCACCACCGAATGCGACCAATGTATACAGCTACGAAGTACCACATGGCAACCGTAGACAAGGCGGCACCCTACACAACTGGGCATGAAAACGGAACCAGACCGTAAGCCACCTCGAGGAGATTACGACGCGAATGCAACCCATTGCCAGAAGCAGAGGTGTGACACACCAGAGGCCATCCCGCACCCTGTTAAGATGAATCGTTATCCCCCTAGGGGGATTCCATACGACCTGCGGCAATCGCCACTGAGGATGAGAACAACAGGCCACATGACACGTCGCAAACGAAGTCGTCGCGCACGCCCGATAGCATACCCCAGCATTCACCAACGAGACACAGCTTGAGTGAGCATAGTTCGGAGAACGAGAATTCAAAGCACCGACGCTCAATTCAGCACACGTATGGTACAGCCCCAGGGCATCGCGGCGCAGGCAGCTAACTTGTTCGAACCAAAGCTGTCCTGAGCCGAAATGGAACTGGAGGCGAAAAGAAGAGGGAGGGAGTGAGGCAGGGAAGGAGAAGAAGAGGGGCAGGGGGGGAGGGATGAGGGTGAAGGGTTGGGAGTAGATGGGGGATGATGACGAGATAGGACGAGGGAGGGATGTGGACAGAGAAAAGCGGGAAGGGGAAAGGAGAGGGTGCATGGAGGAGGAGCAGTAAATGACGATGGAGAGGGGAGGAGGAGGAGGAGGAGGACGAGGTTAAGACGCTGTGTAGCGAAAAACGTCAGAAACGTCGTCAGGAGGACGAGGAGGAGGAGGAGGAGGACGAGGAGGAGGAGGAGCCTACTCTTCCTCATCCTGCTCGCGCTTTCCCTATCGTCCTCTCCAAGGGGCAGCAAGGAGACGCGCGCATCACCGCGAGTATAACCGCCAGGCCGTCATTGCCCTCCCCCGCGGCGGAGGACTTCCAGCAGGCGCAGGCCTGGGCCAAGTGCGGGGAGGAGGATACTGTCTGTCAAAGAACAGAACTGGATTAGGGGGAAGGAGGAAGAGGAACCCAGATAACGACGACGATGAGGAGGAGGAGAAGGAGGAGGAGGAGGAGGAGGAGGAGAAAGAGAGGAGAGGAGGAGGGAGGAGAGGAGGAGGAGGAGGAGGAGGAGGAGGAGGAGGAGGAGGAGGAGGAGGAGGAGGAGGAGGAGGAGGAGCGGGAGGACGAGGAGGAGGAGGAGGAGGAGGAAGGTGCCCAGAACAAGACGGGGACATTGGATGACATGAGGCGTGGAGGGAGTGAGGGAAGAGAGGATTGGAGGGGTGGGGCGAAAAGAAATAAGAAGAGAGGATATTAATCCGCCACCGTGCCTGCGAGATGTGGGCGAGCTCGAATGCAAAGTGCTGCCTGGCAGGGTTGCTGTATGTGCTCTAAGGCCCTCGCCCTCTGCGAGGCTCCTTGGCCGGTGGCACGGTGGCTGAACTCGCCGCAGGAACTTGAACAATGAAGGAGAGTGGGAGGGAGGATGGAGAAAGAAGAGATGGATGAGGCGAGGAGGCGAGAAGGGAGGAGGATAATTAGGAGGAGAAGGAGGAGGAGGAGGAGGAGAAGGAGGAGCTCCCCCATCTACCTGCCCCCCCCCCGCGCGCCAAGGGAACAGGTAAGAGGGCAGAGGGCTGAAGTACGAGTCTCGAAAAGGAGGATGGGACGGGACTGGATAGGCTTTGAGAGGCGGAGTCCGACCGGCCCTGTAAGGCTGCCTCACACTTACGAAGGCCTCTGCAAGCACAATCGGATGGCGGTTCTTGGCTCTTGGCTCGCTTCGTGCCAAGACCTGTCTGGGGCGCCCCTCTGGTCAATGGCGAGGCTGGGGCACGTCAGCAGTGGGCTTTGCCCCTATAGCTGGGTGACGCGATGGGCGCCCCCAAGCCTTTGGCGAGGAAGATCCCCAAGAGCCGCAAGGTATTCTGGGGCTCTGGTGGCATCCTCCTTCTCCGCCCCCTCTGCGGTGACGGTGTGTGGGAGGGACTCTTGATTTGTGCTGGCCGCCTGCGCTGCCTTCCCGTGCTTCGTCCCCCACCATTCGCAAGACTCCGTTCGGAGCCCGGGCCGCTGCACCTGATGGGCCCGTTTTCCACCACCCCCATAAGTTGGAGGGGGAAAGGAGGAGGAGGATGAGGAGGAGGAAGACGAAGAGGATAATGAGGAGGAGAAGGAGGAGGAGGAGGAGGAGGAGGAGGATCCCCTCCCCCTCCAACTTATGGTGGTGGTGGTGGAAAACAGGCCCATTAGCACCAGCACCAGGACAAGTTCATCCTGTCCTGAAGGCCCCCCCCGCAGTCCCCCTCCGACTCCTCCGCGGCCGCCGTCCTCCCTCGCCACTGACCCGGTACGAGTTGGCTGCCTGGCCTCCGCGGCCATCCTCTCCGACCTCTGCGGGCGCCTAGCCCGCGGCGGACAACACGTTGGCCGTGCCGCTCTCTCATGGCTCCGAGCTCCGCGCGGGGGCCGGGTCCCGCCTGCGCTCCGGTCGAGGGAGGGCGGGGAGCAGGAGGGCGCCACGCCCGCGGCGTGAGCGAGACCACAGCACGCCAGACGCGCAGGACACAGGCTGTCGGGAGTCCGCGCGGACTTCTCGGGTGGGCGCTGGACCCCTCTCCCCCTCCTGATCCTCCGCCCTCCTCCGCCCTCCTCCCCCTCCTCCTCCTCCTCCTCCTCCTCCTTCTCCTCCTCCTCGTCCTCCTCCTCCTCCTCCTCCTCCTCCTCCTCCTCCTCCTCCTCCCTCCTGGCCTGGGTGCCTCTGGCGCTGCCAGGGGCATGGGGCAGGGGGCCCCGATGCCGACCCAAGACATCTGCGCGGACCTCCGACAAGTTCTGTCGATGCAGCTCTCCCCCCATCAGCCAGCCTCGAACTTGTCCCTATCCCTAAGATTGACACGCCCAAAGGCGATGACAATCTTAGGGATGCACCCTCAGAAACTGAGGGAATCCCTAAGATCGCCATCGTGATGAGGCGATGCCCAACATAGGGATAGGGATAGGTTCCAGGCTGGTAGCCCCATGAGAAGCTAGGGCGCGGGCGATGTAGGTGACCCACAGAAGGAACAGAAAGGCCGATGACGAGTACTTCGGCACAGTGGGTCCACCTGGGAGAGGAGGTGGCTAATGTTAAGCTCGTGCTGTGATTGTTCGTCTGAACTGCATGCTCGAGGGAGGGCACCTCTCGATCGTGTCCTAAACCATGCCGACATAAAACAAACATCGCACAAGCCTTTGTCGCCCCCAATCCCCAGCCCCTGCCTGGGGGGGGGGGGGGGGGCGGTGCAAATTTGCCAGTTTACGGGGGTGGAGTGGGGTGGGGCGGCGCGGGGGAATTGAGGGGGGAGGGGTGCCCGAAACGATCAGAAAAGGAGGCTCCAGCATGTTGCCAGGGTAGCCCAACAAGCTTCCAAAGAGACGCAAGCAACGAGCACCAACCGACTCGAACAAAAACTGCCAAGGGATCTCAAGAGGGGCATGATCAGTCTCACGAGAGGCCCCAAACCTGCCCCAGAGAGCCAAGGTAAGAAGCAAACTACGTAACTTTCGAAGTGCGCTTCACTTCCGAACTTTCCCAGCTCGCTGTATAAAGCAATCCCGCGGGCTCAAGAAGGCCATAACAACGCCAGGGACCTCCCAAGATGGCCCAAGAATCTCCGTTGGACAACCCCAAGAGAGACTCAGGATGAGCCCAGAACGGCCCGGTAAGCTCCCATGAAGGCCCCTACAAGGCTGCCTGAGTGCGCGACGACGAGAGAAGGGCCCAAACGAGCCCCAAGGCGCACCAAGAGGAGACCAAAGAGCCCCCGCGATTCCCCCAGAGGCCACCAAAGAAAACCCCAAACAAGCCAAACGGCCCAACGACGGACCGGGAGGCCATCCAGAGGGGTTCGAGGCGGGACGGAACATAGCACTCACTACCACACAGACACACACACAAACATACACACAACACACACAAACATACACACGCGCCCGTCGCTTGGCATCGGCGGATCGCTAAACTATCCGACACTCTTTTTAGCTTCGCAGTCGGTTGATCCAACGCAACGAGGGCAAAAATCGGGGCGCCCTAAGAGTGACTGCCACCGCACAGTAAGACCCCCCACACACACACACACACACACACACACACACACACACACACACACACACACACACACACACACACACACACACACACACACACACACACGAACACACACACGAACACACACACGAACACACACACACACACACACACACACTGCACGTACAATACACACAACACACACAACAGATCCACACGTCGTGGGCTTGGTCGGCTGGGACGTGCCGAGGCCGGTGGGACTGCAGACGGAGGCTCTGCCTGCGGAGGCGGGTCAATGATCAGGCCGACGACGGAGGCTGCGAGGCGCGCTTGGAGCGCGGGCTGCAGCATGATGGCCTCGCCAGCGCGCCGATGATGAGTCGTTCGGGGGCGCTCGCGACTTGCAGCGCGAGCGACCTGTGCTTCACTCGTCTCTGGGGGGCCAGTGGGCCGCACTGCCTGGCTCCGCGTGCTGGCCTGCTGGCCTCCACGGAGGGTGCGCTGCGTTTTTTTTTTTTTTTTTTTTTTTTTGTTTTTTTTTTGTTTTTTTTTACCCCCCAGTTAAGTAAGGTTTGCTGCTGCCGTTTCTTGGTTATGCTCGTCCTTTCGCCCTCACAAGGGGTGAGGGCGCCCACAAGGGCATGGGGCGTGAGACGAACCCAGCGGCCCTCGGGTGCGCTGCGGGTCTTGGGGAATCCTCCGGCCTGCTCCGAATGCTGAGCCCGGGCCGAAGTGCCAGGAGCCGGGCCCTCGGTGCTGGCCTCCAGGGTTGGTGCGTCGAGGGGTCCCGGGGGTCCTAGGCTTCGCTCTGCTCCTGGGGTCCAGAGCGGCGCCTCTGCAGGGCTAGGCCTGGGGTGGTCTTGGTGCAGCATCTGGCGTTCTGCATGCAGCAGCCACTTGTTCTGAGCTTCCGCCCGCTGCAGGTGGTGCGACACACACACACACAAACACATGCGCACACATTCGAAGGCACGAGCAGACACAACCACAGACGCAAACACACAACCACACACAAAACGCACGCACGCACGCACGCACGCACACAGACACACACACACACACCCACACCCACCCACCCCTCCACCCATCCACCCACGCACCCACGCACCCACGCACCCACGCACCCACGCACGCACGCACACATAGACAGACAGACAGACAGACAGACAGACAGACAGACAGACAGACAGACAGACAGGCAGGCAGGCAGGCAGGCAGGCAGGCAGGCAGGCAGGCAGACAGACAGACAGACAGACAGACAGACAGACATGCATACACACACGCACTCACTTTTGGCGTCGCGACCCTGCGCGCAACGACACGGCGGAACTGTCTAAAAGCAATCAGCGCGTAAACTAGAAGCGCCCGAGCCCTCATAAACCGCGTCGGATCTCGCAGCCGCCATCAGTCATAAGCCATCCTGGCGTGGATGGCAGAGGAGAGCAAGTAAACAGAGTGGAGCGACCAGGAGAACGAGGCCGACCTGGAAGCCCACAAAAAGGGCGGGAGGGCACGAGCCTACGAGGAGCGGGTGCCGCTGCCAGCCAAGGCAGGCAAGGCGCAAGAAGCAAAGAGGTACACACACACACACACACACTCGGGGGCGTCCAAGAGGGGGGTGTCCGAGAGGGGGGGTGCAAACCATGGCCGCCAGCATGTGCGCGGCCCAGGGTGCGGCCGCGGACGTTTTTGAAATAAGCAGAGGCGCCATGACATCTGGGGAGACACCACGGCCCCCACCATGACATCCCCGAACTCACACACACACACAGCCGGCGGCCGTGCTGCCTGCCGCGGCCCCTCGGCGGCGGCGGCGGCCCCGCGTGCCTGGCGGAGGAGGAGGGAGGGGGCGAGGCGGAGGAGGTGGAGGTGGAGGCTGCCACCGTGGTGCCCGCCCGTGCTGGGCTCGAGGGCGCCATGGGACGCCGCGGAGGGCCTCGTGGAGCCGCCCGCCACGTCGGAGGCCGACGACGGCCGGGCCGACCCGAGCCCCCAGCAGGCCGCCGCGGACGGCGACGAGGGCATGCCTGCCGCGCCCCCTGCGGTGGGCAGCCGCACTGGTGTGACTGCTGCTGGCCCGCTCCGAGGTGCCAGGGGGGGATCATGGTGAGTGTGGGTGCAGCGACTGTCGCCGTCAGCCTATCCACGGACACGGTCCCTGCGTTCACGCGGCGCGCCATGGGGCACGTGAAAGCTCCGACGCAGTGTGCGAGTTGGCCACGGTCGACTGCCAGCTCGTCGGGGCTCCGAGATAGGCTGCAGCACCGCCCTGTCGGCACGAGGCCCACCGGGCCGAGGCCGGCGTGAGGCGAGAGCTCCGCCGCTGAGGCGGCAGGCGGCCGAGGCTCACAGAGGTCGACCTCGGCGGCATCCCGAGAAGGCCCCCTTCTTCCCATCCCCTTTTCCTGCTCCTCCCTCCCCTCCTCCTCCTCCTCCTCCTCCTCCTCCTCCTCCTCCTCCTCCTCCTCCTCCTCCTCCTCCTCCTCGGCCCTCATCAGCCCCACGGGGACGCGCAGCGGGTCGGGTGGCGCAAGCTACTCGCGCCGCTTCCCTCCAGAACGTGCTGTGCAGAAGCTACTGGACGTCTTCTGGTGGGTAGTGCATTCGGCTTTTGCGACAAATGGGCGACCCTTGTTTCGAGCCTCTGCACAAGGCTGCGCCCGGCCGGCAGTCCGTGCGCTCAGTTGGCATTGCGGCGAAGAGTGCGTTCCGGGGTGCAGATGTCGTCGGCCGTCGGTCCGTCGCTAGCGCGCTGGCTTCGGGACGTTGCGCGCCAGAAGGAGCTACACACACAGACAGACACATACGCACACACACACACCACGTCTTCCCCCCTCAAGGGCCGAGGGAGTGCGATCGGCGGTACTGACCTCCCATCAAAGAGGGATGCGAGCGCGCACACACACACAACGCAACGCACACGCTCACGATACACGAGTCACACACACACACACAACACGCACGACACGCACAACACAACATACACATGCAACACACACACACACACTTTGGCGGCAGCAGCCTCGCGCGCGGCGACGAGGCGGAGAAAACGTAGACAGTGCGCGCGGCGGCCTGGGCCTCAAGCATCACTCAGGAAACGGTCCTGCCGATATTAGCCGTTCGGGCGTGGATAGCGGGGAGGGTGCACGCAAGACCGTGGGCAATGCCCTCACGGCAACATGAGGCAAGGAACACGGCATCAGCCATACCGGCGTGGATATCGGGGAGGGCACACGCAGTACCGTGGGAGGGACCCGTGCGGCAACACGATGAGATGAGGACGGCAACGGCCATCGACCGTGGAGGGCAGCGAGGCGCGCGGACCGAGGGGCTGGCCCAACGGCGGGAGCAAAGAAAGAAGGAAAAGTGCTCAGACACTTCACACACACACACACGCACACTTCACACACACACGCACACACACGCACACACACACACACGCACGCACGCACGCACGCACGCACACACACACACACACACACACACACACACGCACACACACACACACACACTTCACACACACACACGCACGCGCGCGAAACACACACACACACCACAAACACACACACACACACCCTGCACAACCCCCCGGGCCCCCCCCCCAAGAGTGCGGGGCGTGGGTCCCCACCGCCTTGGGGAGAATCCGCAGCAAAGGTGCAACTGGAGAATTCGTAACGGTGTGCTCTGTGCTTTGCTGGCTGCCCACCTATGAAGGGGCCCCAGGACACACAAATAAATACACACAAATAAAATAATCCCCCATATTTTCCTATATTTTCTGGGTTTCTGTCTTCCCCCCCACTTCCCATATTTTCCCATATGTTCTGGGAATCGATGATTAATTGTGTCTGTGTGTTTTTCCCCCTCCTGAACCTAGCTCGCCGTGGTAGCGGATGCGCCGGATCCTGAGGACGACGATGCACATGGCGGCGAGGAAGAAGAAGACGAGCACAGTGAACCCTAGAGAGCCGGCCTCAAGTGGAGGGCAAACAAACACAAGCAGGAAGGGAAAGGGGGACGGGAAGGACGGAGGAGAGGAGGAGGAGGGTCCGTGTAACCGTGTACACCTGAGACGCATCAACGATGATGCAATAAACCCTTCCTCAAAATTCCCTCGTCATTGGCCACTGCCAGGATGTACTTTGATTGCGGGAAGTACCTCATTGGAAGACGACCGTCTGAGAATCCCCTATGGTGCCAAAATACCGTTCTCGGGACTTGACCGCCGTGAATCGACGTGTTCCTTGCGTCCTGACAGTCGTGGCAGAACACCACTCCCGGGACTTCCTCGCAGCGCAACAACGTGACTGCTGCGTCCTGACAGCCCTAAATCGAGCCAAAACAGACCTCCGGGGGTTCGAGCCAGACAATTCGAATGCTTGTACATGTCGCAAACTGTTGAGACGTATGCGCGCGGCGCTGAAACGAGAATCACAATTTGAAACATGTCCTCTCTCCAGGAGTAAGCTTGCTGCCAACGTGTAAGCCACATGTCTGCGGCGCGAGCGCGAGAGCGACAGGATGTTGAAGATGACCCGCCATCCATCACTGAATCGGCTGCAGACTTTCGAGACGAGTGTGCGCGGCGCCGAGGCGAGAGCTGCACTTCGGGAAAGGCCCGCCCTCCATCCGTGAAGCTGTTGCAAGCGGTTCGAGCACAGGTTCGCGGCGCGGAAACGCGAACCACGACTCGAAAACGGCTCGCCCTCCACCCGTGCAGCCGCTGCACGGCTCACGCTCCAGGATCACAACCAGGAAGCAGACGTAGTCCGAAACGCCTGGTCCGCCCTGCTGCCACCTCTGGGGGGGCCACAGGCAGGGGTCATTCACAAGGGAACGGCGAGGAGGAGGAGGAGGAGGAGGAGGAGGCCTTCACAACAAAGGCGCCGTCTGGATGCTTGCCGATCATGTCAGGGTAGGCCCGCTTCCACTCGTCCTGGCGGCAGCCATCAGGGCGATAAAGGCCTTTGGTCTCCTCTGTCCCTCCTGCCGAGGAGGAGGAGGAGGAGGAGGAGGAGGAGGAGGAGGAGGAGGAGGAGGAGGAGGAGGAGGAGGAGGAGGAGGAGAAGGGGGGGGGGGAGGAGGAGGAGAGGGGGAGGAAGAGGAGGAGAAAGAGGAGTTGGAGGTGGAGGAGGAGGAGGAGGAGGAGGAGGCCCCTCACCCTCGCGGGTGGCTCACTCGGAGGCCGCCGCCCACCTGCGACGCTCGAGCGACGTGAACCCCGCCTCCCATCTTAGAAGTCGTGGGGTGGTGGGGCAGGGCTCGCACGAGGCCTCCTACAGTCGGGGCGTTGACCTAAGGAACCCTAAATAAGGAACGAGGCCCCTCTCATCCACAACTTGAGCTTCGATCTCCCGTCGAAAACCAGAGGGACACCCAAGGCAACCTGTGAAGCAGTCAAGGAACCCGGAGCCCCTCCCCAACGCAAAGGGTTCCTTCTTCAGGGTCCCGACTGTAGGTGTGCGACGGCTGATGGGGGCGGCTGGATCGCCTAACCTCGCGCTTGGCGCCGCGCGAGACCTTGCGACGAGCGATGTCTCTCCGCGCTCTCGTGCAACCACGCTGGAGGAGTCCACGTCTCCAGCCCGGGCCGCGGAGCGCGAATCGCGATGATCCTCGCGCCCCTGTGGGTGACCCGGATGCGGCTACGCCAGGCCTCTGCAGGACCCGACGCCCACTTTGCCAGCTCGGCCTCGCTTTCTTCCAGGGGCCGCCGAGAAGCGAGCTCGGCGCGGAGCGCATCCGCTCCCACCCCGACGCCCGCGAGGCCCGCGCGGGGAAACGCCGCGGCCGACGCGCTGGCCGAGGCGGCGGCTGAAGGAGGCTTGGCCTGGGTCGAGAGATGGGCATCGCTCGGACGTCCATTCCCTGTGTTTTTGTTCGGTTTCGTGCGTGGTTTTTTCGCCAAGTGATCAAGGATGCTGCTCGATGGTCCTCGCCGAAGGAAAAATGCACACGTCCGAGCGATGCCAAGGAGAAGGTGGAGCACCTGGCCGCGATCGTTCGCTGGCGGCCGCGGTGCTCCGCGCTGGACGCCGCGGCCGCCGAGCGGCGAGGCCAGTGGCCACAGCGGGCGAGGCAGGTCCGACCAGCCACAGCTGGGAGAGCTGTGGGCCCTACCCCCCCTGGCGGGGGAACCCATCGCATCGGCGATCTCTCGAGAGGGGCGTCGACATCGATGGGTCCCCCAGGGGGGCAAGGGCCACCGCTCCCCAGCTGTGGCTACCCCTGCAGGTGTGCCGCCCGCCCCGCGGGCCATCGCCGCCTCCTGCCCGGCCCGCTGCTTGGCCGACGGCGGCCGCGGCCGCCGCTGGCGCGGGTGCCCAGCCTCCGACGCGGTGCGATACGAGCGGCGCCCAACGGCGAGCGCCGTGAGGAGCAGTCGGCTGCACGCAAGAGCGACCCCGGGCAAGGGTGCCCTTAGGTGCGCGGCTTTCGGGGGCCGCGGCGGCGCCCACACCAAAATGAGTATCGCTCAACCGATCCCCATCCCCAGCAGCGTGGCCTGGGCCCCACGTGCCGATCTACCCCCTTAGAAAGAGGGGGACACAGGTCGCCCCCCTCGGGTTTCGAGGGGTGTCTCCCCAACTGGGGCGGCAATCTGGTGGGGGTCTCGAAGGGGGTGGAGATGATGGGGATGGGGCTCGGATGAGCGATGCTGACAAGAGCCACTCCGGCAAAGGGTCACTCCTGCGAGCAACCGAAGCAGGGGCCCGAACCGCTGGAGCGCGCGGGCTCCCGCCGGGCTGCGCGGCTCGGAGGCGCGACCGCGGCAGGCCGCCGCTCCACGGCCCCGGTGGCCCCGCCAGGGGGTGCGTGCTGTGAGATGAACACCAGTCCCTCGAACGCATCCCTATCCCTAAGATGGGCGAGCAAAAAGCGAGGACGATCTTAGCGATAGGCCCTCAAAAGCTGAGGGAATCCTCAAGATCGGCATCGAGGTGAGGTGATGTCAAACATAGGGATAGGGATATGTTCCAGGCTGGTAAGCCAGCCGCAGGGCTGAGCGCGAGAGCTGCAGCAGGCCGCCCTCGGCTGCTGCGCCAGGAGCCATCGCCGGCGCCGTCGGTGAGCTGCCCTCACAAGTCGGGCCTGTCCCCCTACAGGCGGATTTTGAGCGAAAAATGAAAGCAGTCAAGAACCAGTCAAAGACGGTCGAACATGCTGGAAAATCGTCCCCAGACTATTTCTGGAATATTCCCGAATATTCCTCCTGGAGAGGGACAGGCACGACTTAAGCTACTCCAGCCAACTCTTCTCAACCCTCCCTCATGTTTCGGATGCCCTGACGTCCGTGGCACCCCACGACGTGGTCCAGAAGATGGACGCGATCGTCCACGGCAAGCCAATACCGAGGAACACGTTCACGGAGTTACTGCCCGTGACGTTCACGATGGACGCGTCCGCGTGCTCGTCTTCCTGCGCGGCAGTGACCGACGCGAAAGTGTCGGGCAAGGAGGTGCCCAGCGCCACAATGGTCACTGCCGTGACCTCCTCGAGGGAAAATGCCGACTTTGCGCCGACATCACATTTGGCAAGATCCCTCCTGGGCCTGGGACAATGCACAATACTTCCTGGCTGCTGGCCCCTGTGCACCGATCCTGGGCGATGAGCCTGGCCAGTCTGTGTCGGTGCACAGATCGCGCCCCTGATCCCCAATCCTGAGAGATCTCAGCACAACAACCGAAGAAAGACGCCAGGTCGATCACAAGCGCCGTACAGGCGCCAATGTAGATCAGCGACATTCCAAAGAGCAGCCAACCACCACACCAGTTGCTCGGGGGGCACAGCAACGCGAACAGCATCTTCCAGGGCAACGTCACAACATGTATCGCTAGGTCCTTTACGGATGGTCTCTGAGCCTCCTCGGCCTCGTCCTCCTCCTCGTTGCCTGCGTCGCCCTCTACGGAACTCGCAATCTTTATCTGCTCAGACCATGCCTCCAGTCCTACCTTGAAATTGTCTACGTCTATGAACCTCTCCATTAAGGACGTTGTTTTGTCTTCGTTGCCGTTCGCGATCGTGATCGTACATATTGCCTTGTCACGGCCGCCATCGTCGTAAGGGTTAAAGTGGGCTCCGTCGTCTGAAACTTCATCCTCTGTCACAATGTCGCTGAGCACAAGCTGAAATGTGTCATCCCGCTCGCCGATCCTCTTGCCGAGGATCTCGATGATGATCTTCTTTATGTCTTCACCGGGTCCAAACTCCAACGTGCCCTTCTTGGGTATAAAATCGTGGGCCGGGATGGCACTCAGGCCCTCTGTCCGGAACTGACACCTCACTCTGCCGCTGGTGCCATTCCGGCGCAGGACGTCCACGCTGAACGGATGCCTGCTGTTGCACGTCGCCGTTGTCTGCTCGACGTCGCTCCTGAAAGCGAGAATGCCACAGCCGCTGCAGAGGAGCTTGCCCGTCGCGTGGTCTATGATGCCCCTCCCTGTGTCCGCCGACCCCGTGGGGTCGGCCGGCGTGTGGGATTGTGCTCAGCTCTGGCGTGTCCCCCCACAGGCCGCTTTTCGAGGAAGAAGTAAAAATAGTCAAGATATCATCAAACATGGTCAACACATGCTAAAAAAAAGAGTCCCCAGACTATTCTTGGACCGGGCCATTTTTGAATATTCCTCCTATAGAGTGACAGGCCCGACTTAAAGATTATGCTCCCCCTTCCCTTGGAGGCTCCTTCTGGGGACCTTCCTGGCGCCACTCGCTCCACTCGTGCGTCGAAGCTACGTCGGAGCTGAGTCAAACCTGAGTCGAATCTGAGTCGAACCCGAGTCCGACCTGAGCCGAATTCGAGCCGAACTGGCATCGCGAACGTTAGAGACGTTCCGGGGTCGAGCAAATCTGCTAAATGTCCCCGGGAAGGTCCCAAACGCGAACATGCAGCTTCCCTCTTCTAATGCCACCCCCCGCCTCAAAAGCTTGGACCTGACCTCGTCGGCTACCCGCCAATGCACCGCAGAAACGGCCAGCGACCCGGGAGTGCCAGCGGGTGTCGGGTCGCCCAGGAACTTCAAAAGGCCCAAGAGCAGCCCAAAAGGGATGCGACAGGGCCCTCACACGACAGGAAAGGCCGCCAAGACGGGCCAAGACGATCCCAACGTTGCGCGGTCATCAAGCAGACACTGCCCACAGAAGGGCCCCTGGACTCGCGACCAGACACTGGAAAGCGCGTCCCCCGCAATCTGGCCTCGGAGTCTAACTACATGGCAGACTGCTCGCGGACTAACGAAAGGAGCTGGGGAGAGTGGCGTCAGCCTGACGGATCTCTATATGGAAGTATACTATCATCGACGGCATCCCCGTCCACTTGCGGCGACTCCTTCCACCGCTTCACAGTCTTTCGATCAGCACGCTCAAACTCCAAGGTACCTACACGGTGGAGCTCAGATAATCGAACTCGAGCATGCTTAAACAGGTAGTGTTCGGTGCCGTCGTCAACGGTCGGCAGAGGATCCATGGCGATGAAGGGCATATGCCTGAGGGTGCGCAGAACGAAATACATAAGATGAGCTCTGGATCTAGCGTATTTGGTGATTGCATCACCTCCCTCTCCCTTCATTGTCCCCCAAACGTATGCCAAGATGACGACCGCGATATTGTCACATATCACAAATACTACTACTTACAACGGTGCTACATGACGGAAGCCGATGGCCTTTCAGACCCCAGAGGCTTCAACTCACGCCGGGATCGCTTGCGCGTTGAAGCCTTCGAGGCCTGGAAGTGTTTCGGCCAATTGACTGTACCAGTGGTAGTGGAAAGCTGGGCCACGAGTCTGTGCCCTTTAGTCTTCCTCCTCTCCCGAGCGCCCCTTGTCGGCCAGCCAAGAGACGAACACCAACACCGGAAACATCAGGAGGGCGACGCCGGCCTCTCGAGGCAGCACGACATCTCACGAGAGGCTGCACGACGTCTCACAAGGAGACGACAACCATGGTGAGAAGGAGGAGGGAAGAGGAGGGGAGGAGGAATGACGGATCAGCCCCAAAGCTCTGGCCTCCCAAGGCTGCACGACATCTGCTGAAGAGACGGCCACGATGAACCAGAGCCAGAAATACGCGAATAACGAAAAAATCATCGTGACATGGTACACCGCCATCTCCGCGATGGCCCGGTGATCGGCCGGGTTCGGGATAGCCGCGATGCAGACCCCGACGATCACGAACAAATTGAACGCCGCCGATCCTACGATGGTCGATGGGCCCAGCTTCCCGCTGAAGCCCTCGTCCTGGAGGAGCTCCTCATCCTCCTCCGCCACCTCCCTAAGGTGCCAACTGTTGTGAGCGTTCCGTGGGCACGATGTGGTTATCCGCCCACCGTGTCTCGAAGCTCATGTGGCTCCCATCGTACTTAAGAACCGCATCCCAGAACTAATTCCGAGCACCCGGAAAAGTGTCGAAAGGGTGTCACAACAGTGCCGAAACAATGTCGGACGAGCGTCTCCCGGGGCCCGAGGCATGAAAACCCTCGAGTTTCGGTAGTGGGTTTAGGTGCTCGAAACTCTTCTGGGTGATCACGGCTCAAGGACACGTCGTTCATTTCTCATCGTGCTCATTTCGAACTGTGCCGGTTTCTAATTGTTCCTGGCCCCCCAGTGGCCAGGAAGAGGCCCAGGATAGAACACCTAGAAACGAAAGGATCTTGGCCCCCCCTAAAATCAAAGAACTGTCGAATCACTCGACATGAACAAGGTGTAAAACATAGGTTAGAATATCATAACTCGAAGCACGGGCTGGAGTGTCCTCAGGCCCCTCGGGGTCCTCCGCACTGGATGCGGTAGCGATGTCCAGGGGCCCGCGGCCCGCCACTCTGGGCGCCCCCTGGCCATCGCGCGGACGTCCATTCTCTGTGTTTTTTTCGGTGTCGTGCGTGGTTGTTTCGCCCAATGATCAAGGATGATCCTCGCTGGTCCTCGCCGAAAGAAAAATGCACACGTCCGAGCGATGCCAGGGCACTGGATGCGGTAGCGATCTGATAGGGGGCCCGCGGCCCGCCATGCTGGGCGCCCCGGGGTCTCCCCGCACGCCGTCGCGCAGCGCTTCCCGAGGCAACGGCGGCCCCGAAGACAGCCCAAGATCGAAGGGGGCCCTGGGACACACAAGCACAGACACACAGATAAGAGGATGCCCCACAGTTTCCCATATCTGCTGGTATTCTGTCTTCCCCCACAGCCCACATGTTCCCATATTTTCTGAGTTCAACGGTTCAATTGTGTCTGTGTGTGTTTTTTTAATCCTCCTGAAAGAGGGCCCCCCGAGACGGTCCAAGAGCGCCCCGAATCGCCAAAGGATTGCACCAAGACGCCCAAAATGGCCTCAAGACGGCCCACGAGGCGCCTGCTCCTCCTTCTCCGTCTGTTCCTCCTCTTCCTCCTCCTCCTCCTCCCTCCTCGCTCTCCTCCTCACTCTCCTCCTCGTCCTTCTCCTGCTCCTGCTCCTCCTCCTCTTCCTTCTCCTGCTCCTCCTTCTACCTCCTCCTCCTCCTCGTCCTCCTCCTCCCCCTCCTCCCCCTCCTCCCCCTCCTCCTCCTCCTCCTCCTCCTCCTCCTCCTCCTCCTCGTCCTCTTCCTCTTCCTCTTCCTCCAGCTCCAAGCTCGTGTATTATCGTGTATTATCTTCAAGCTCGTGTGCGAACTCGAGCGTTCTCGCTCCTCGGGCTCCAGACGCTTCAGGATGGCTCAAAGAAGGCCCAAGAAGCTCGCAACAATGCCCCAAGACGACCCGAGATGGCCGCAAGACGGCGCAACAGGCCCCCGAGGGCGGCTCGAGCATGGGGTGACGTTTCGAGGCCTCCGCCCGCGAGACCACCGGAGCGTCTCCACTGTGGCAGGACGGGCGGCCAAAGGCCACTACAGTCGGGGCGTTGACCTAAGGAACCCTAAATAAGGAACGAGGCCCCTTTGTCACATAAGTTACACTTCGGTCCTCCTCCTCCTCCTCCTCCTCCTTCTCCTCCTCCTCCTCCTCCTCACACACTTCCTCCGCCTACCCTGTCACGTTGTCCTTCAGCTCCTTCCTGTGATCACACATCCCGTCGCCATCGACGGCCAAAACCTTCAGACTCGGCGACACATGCCGTAAGGCCTTTACAATAAAGAACGAGGCCCCTTTGTCCCATAAGTTAAACTTCTATTTCGCATGGGAAACCTTGGGAAAGCCCAAGGCAGACTGCAGACCAATCAAGGAACTCCGAGCCCCTCCCCAACGGAGAGGGTTCCTTCTTCAGCGCCCCAACTGTAGACACTGAGCTGAGTCGAGGAACTGGCGCGGAGCGATTAAACCAGAGGGCACAGAGCCAAAACAAGCAAAGCATCGGATCGGGATGAACCGGGAATCGCTGAGATCCTGCGGTCCTAGAGGATGTACTGGGTGCCGCGGCGCTCCCCGTGCGCTCTGGGACGCTCCAAGAGTCTGGAGCGCTCTGGAATGATTTCTCCCCGTCCTAGCTCCGCACGACCAAGAGTGAGCCAGCGCAGGCTTGATTGCACTGGGCGACGCCGGCCAAGGCGGGAGTAGCACCAGTGAAGCACACGGGCCGACGACGCCTTCCCCCCTCCACAGGAATTGCATCATACCCTTTCCATCCACTGCTTTTAGGTCGGGCCTGTCCCCCCTACAGGGAGATTTTGAGCGAGAAATCCCACCAGCCCTCTGGGCGTCGGTGGTTTAGAGCGTTTCCTCTTCCACCCCTCCTCTTCCCCTTCGGGGAGGGGTTTACCCCTCCCCCTACCCCCTCCCCACTGACCTGGACAGGGGGTTCCGCGGCGCGTTGGAGCGCCCAAGATCGACCCCTGGGAGGGCTAAAATTCGACACCCCTCACGAGGATCGTGGCTCCTGAGGGGGGGACTGTAATTAGGGAACCCCCCTTCGTTGATCGATCTCCTCCAAGATGGCTCCGAGGCCCCCCAAGAGGCCCCCAGGAGGCCCCCAAGAGACCCCCAAGAGGCCCCAAGAGACCCCCCAGAGGCACCCAAGAAGCGCCCAGGAGGCCCCAAGAAGCGCCCAGGAGGCCCCCAAAGGCCCCAAGATGGCCCCAAGAGGCCCCAAGAGGCCCCCAGGAGGCCCCAAAGAGGATCCCGAACGGCCCACAGAGGCCCCCCCGAGGCACCCAAGGCGCCGAAAAGCCCCTCAGGACGACCCTCTACTCGCCTGGGCGTCGTTTCTGGACGGGTTGGTGGGGATACGCGAAGCGTCTAGAATTTGAAATAATTTACCAATATACCAACAATACTCAAGAATACCCACCTAAAACGTCCCAGACTATGGTTTAACTGTTTTTGAGTATTCCCCCTGTATAAGGGCAGGCCCGACTTAACCCTACTTGGTCCTTCATCAGCTCTATGCAAGACAGCAGGATCTCAGGAGCAGACGACCCCAATGCCAGCAGCGTCAGGTTGGCCACTGTGCCGTTCCACTGCTCACTGGTCACCCAGCGGCCCTGGGCGGTCTGCACGCGCGCCTTCTTGCTGGTGATCACCTCGACCGCGCTCATGAAGTAGTCCGACACAACGGCCACTCCTGGCAACCACAACTGGTGCTATGTTGCCCCCTATCGTACTTAAAGACCACATCCCCGAGATAAGTTCGAGCACCCGGAAAAGTGTCGAACCAGTGTCGAAACAGAGTCGGACGAGTGTCTCCCAGGGCCCGACACGTGAGAGCCCTCGAGTTTCGGTACTTTCTTGGTGCTCGAAATTTTTCGGGTGGTTCAGGCCAAAGTAGGTTGGAACATCATAAGATTGGTGGGTGCCTCGGGCCGTCTCGGGGCCATCTTGAGTGGGCGTGGAGCGCGCTAGGACCGTCTCGGGAACTCTGGTACCCCCTCGAAATGTCCTGGAAGCCGTCTTGGACCGCCTCGGACCTTCTCGGAGACCATGCTGGGGCTGCCTCGGGCAATCTTGGGGCCCTCTTGGGCCGTCTTGTTGGGCCATGCCGGGTCGTCTTGGGGCCTTCCAGGAGCGATCCCAAGACGACGTTTAGCAAATCACATTTGTTCAAAGATGCCTCGTCGGGGACCTGCTGACCCGGGTCAATCCAGACCCGGGTCAGTCAGGACTTGTGGACTCCTGCAAGATCCTGCACCCAAACCCCGGTCAACGCGAAGGACCCTGCAAGATCCTGCAGGATCCTGCGCCCAAGTCCGGGTCAGTGCGACCCTGGCCCTACAGGATCCTGCAAGATCGGGCGCTCTGGCTGACCCCCGTTTGCACTGACCCCCGTCTCAAGGCTCCCCAGATATGCTCGGGTCGGGCGAAAGGGGGGGATAGCAAAGGGGGGGTTTGAGAATCAGCTCACGTAGCTGATTTTCCTGGCGCTTCCCGGCGCCGGAGGTGGCCATGTATCGAGGAATGGGCCCCTCGGTGAGGCCGAAACCAGCTGCATGCAGCAAATTTCGTAACCCCCCCTTTCCCAATCCCCCCCTTTCGCCCGGCCCGATATGCGACTTCCTGACTTTTTCAGGACGGCGTCCCTGAACCCCCGACCCTTTCCCCCGTCCCGAGGCCCGGCGAGGGCCCCCTGAGGCCGCAAATGGCCAAACACCTCCCGTCCTCTTTTTTGTCTTTGCGACGCGAGCATGTCTGGATCCCGCTTGCAGGGGCCCTCGTCTCGAGGCTCCCGACCTCGAGCGACATCGCCGCTTCCGGCCCCCCCAAAAAGGCAAACTCGGATGTGGGCCTGGACCTCAAGCCAGACTGACATCCCTCGAGAACATGAGCCCCCCGCCGGTCAAAACAAACAGAGCATCCAAGGGTACACGACGATCACTTCTCATCGTGCTCATTTCTAATTGTGGTCGTTTCCACTTGTTCCTGGCCCCCCTGGTGGCCAGGAAGAGGCCCAGGACAGAACGGTTAGAAATGAAAGGATCTTGGCCCCCCCCAAAAAAATCAAAGAACTTTCGAAGACTTAGAACTGAGCAAGTTGTACCCTCACAAAGGACGCACGAGAAGATCCAACAAACCCGACGACCACCAGGGCGCCCTCCCCGAATCGACCTCCACGCATACCTCGCTCCGACCGCAACGCATCGCACGCAGAGCGCGCGCGTTCCGTGATGTGCCGCTCTCACGTGGTCTTGCTACAGGGGTGCGCGGCGTGCTCGACGTTTGACTACCTACCAAACCACCCCAACCCAACCCGAAGACCCGAATTTGACCCGAATTTCGGGTTGGGGGGGGGGTACGGGTTCCATGTGTTTTTTCGACGTTCCCCGACCCCCCCCCCACTGGAAATCGAGGGTAAATCTGAGCCTTCGGGTTGGGTTGGGGTGGTCTGGTAGGTGGTGAACGTTTGGGGGGTCTCGAGTTCTTGAAGAACTCCCAGTGGGGTATCGGCCCAACCCGCTGGGCACCCGGAAGGCTCTTCCAGACGCAACCCGCGTTGGAGGTTTCACTTAAGATGGCCCCAGGAGGCCTCGAAGACGGCTGAGATAGCCTCCAGGATGGCCAAGATAGAATCAAGAGAGGCCGAGATGGCCCCACAATGGCCTCCAAGATGGCCTCAAGATGCCTCAAAGACCGCCCAGATGGTCCACGAGAGCCCTAGACGGCCCCATAAGCGCCCAAGAGGCTAAGGTGCCCTGATGAACCTCCAAGAGGTCCTCCAGGAAGGGCCGAAGAGGCCACAACCATTGATTTGCCTCAGGTGTTAGAAGATTTTCTCTTTCGCTTCAAACCTGTCTTCCGACGGCCCATGAAGGTCCAAGAGGCTCCCAAGAGTGCCCAAGAGCGCCCAGGAGGCCTCCAAGATGGCCCCAGGACGGCCCAAGAGGCTAGTAAGACGGCCCCCAAAGGGCACCAAGATTGTCCAAAAGGCCTCCGAGACGCCCAAGATGGCCTTCAAGTCGACCCTGAAACGCCCACAAACGGCCCAGAGAGGCTCCAAATACTGCTTCCGATGGTGTCAGACGGCCAGGAACGCCGTAAGACGGCCAACGAGGCCCCCAAAAAGCCCCCAAAGGCCCCCAAAAGGTCCAAGGAGACAACTGCAAGGCCTCCAAGAGGCCACAGGAAGCTCCCAGGAGGCCCCAAGAATAACCCAAAACGCTCCCGAGAGATCTTCTCATCTTTCTCCACACCCTCCTTTTCCCTCCCTCTCCTCATCCTCCTCTTGCTCTCCACGTGTTCCCCGAAGGGCTTCAACAACAGCTGCGGGAACGCATGGTCCAATAGCGTGGTGAGCGTTCTCTTATTTGGCGTTTCGGCGTTGGGCGGAAGGGGGGGGGCGGGTCTGGCTCCCGACCTCTGCTTTGTCCGATTGCTTGCAACAGTGTGCCCTATGGGGGAGACTCCGCCTGCTCGAAACAGGCGCCAGAAACAGCCACGACCCACTCCAGGGGGGGGGGCGAGGGGGGTTACCAGGGCCCGCGGCGATCGGCAAACCAGCGAATAAGAAAACGATGACCTTCCTCCCCCACCTGCTCCCCGAAGGGCTTCCACGGCCGTGTCTGGCCACACGGGCTGTCTCCTGAAAGGAGAGGGGGGGCGGCAGTGCTTCGCCGCAGGCGGCTTTGACAACGGCATGAGCAGAAACTTTCGACGCTTCGCGCTGATTTTGATGGGCCGATCGCCCACCACCACTACCATAGGTAGGAGGAGGAGGAGGAGGAGGAGGAGGAGGAGGAGGAGGACCTCCCCATCCTGCCGTCTCCCCCGTCCAACCACCTATGGTAGCGGTGGTGGAAGATTGGCCCATCAGATTTCTTGGATCTGCGCTAGACCCCCCTCCCTGGCGCGCAGAGCACGCCAGGGGCGGCGCCAGGACGCCGCGCTGCCAGGAGGGCCCAACGCGGATCCAAGACATCCCCGCGGAGCGTCGAATTGTCAGGTTGACGCAGGCGCCTCTGCTTCGACTGATGGGGCCAGGGACGACAAGGTGTCTCTACAGTCATCGGCCTGACCTAAGGAACGATACATAAGGATCGAAGCCCCTGTTTTATCCCAAGGGATAACGCATAAGGAACAATCCATAACACATAACGCAAAAGGAACTGTAAAATACGCATGCAAGCCTAAGGAACGACCGAGCCCCTTTTGAAAAGTAAGTGTTCCTTATTCAAGCCGATCACTGTACCTTTCTCCGAGCTCCCTGGAACACGTAGAGAAGGGCCGCCAGGTACAGCAGGGCGCGCAGCTCCTGGCTCCCGCGCTGCTCCGCGTCGCCAAACAGCGGGAACAGCAGGCCCCCGCAGGAGCCTGACGGCGAGGAGGGGCATCAGGAGCGGGAAAAGGGGCACGTGGAGTAGGAAAAGGCGCGCCCGCAGTGGCGGCGGAACAAACGGGCACCGTGCCCCACAAGAAATGTTGGCATAGTGTCTATACTCAACCAGTGTAGCAAGGATGCGCGATAAGGATGCAAGGGCCTTGGACGCCCATTTCGAAGCTTTTCGAGCGGGGCGCGGCCAGCGAAAGCGGCGAAGAATGTACCGAGGAGGCAAGGATGCAAGGGCACCCTTCAGAAAGTTGCCTGTCCTTACTATGCGGGTTGACTGTACCAGCGTATACCCCAAATCGTAAGTCCCTCCAGCCAACATGTGCAAGATAGGTGGTTTAGTCTAGGTGGCACAATGTAAGTGGTGCCACCTCTGTGATGCAGGTACGTCGCGTACGCTGTGGTGCAGGCTATGTCACGTACGCGGTGGTGCATGCGATGTTGTGCAAAATGTGGCGAATGCGTTGGTACGCAAGCTGTTTGGTGCAAGCTATGATGGCCAACTATGTGATAAATGTACTGCAAGCTACGTGATGCAGGCCATGTGCTGCAATCTGCGTGGTATAACTGAGCGGCGCACCCCCCAAGGGGCGGGAGGGCCCCCCCCCCCTCCCTTTCCAAAGGAGAGGGGGGGGGGGCTCAGCTCCCCCCCCCTTGGACCTGTCCTCCCAGAAGGACCTCCCCTCTCCCCCATTTTTTTTTCTCGCCCCTCGGAAGCTCCCCCCCCCCCTCCTTTCGCGTTCCAGAAGCTCCCCCCCCCCCCCCCCCCCCCCTCCCTGTCCCAAAGAGAGGAGGGCGGGGGGGGGGGGCTCAGCTCCCCCTCCTTTGGACCTCCCCTGCCATAGGCCCCCCCTTCTTTTTTCCCGCTCCTGGGAAGCTACCCCCCCTCTTCCTTTCGCGCTCCAGTCGAGTCGGGCGAAAGGGGGGGATAGCAAAGGGGGGGTTTGAGAATCAGCTCACGTAGCTGATTTTCCCGGCGCCTCCCGGCGCCAGAGGCGGCTATGTATCGAGGAATGGGCCCCTCGGTGGGGCCGAAACCAGCTGCATGCAGCAGATTTCGTAACCCCCCCTTTCCCAATCCCCCCCTTTCGTCCGGCCCGATCCAGGAGCTACCCATCCCCCTCCTTTTCCCACAGGCGGGTGGGTCCAACTCCCCCCCCCCTCTGTGGACCTCCCCTGCCGGAAGCGGCCGTCGGCAGCCCCCGACGGAGCCACGAAGCGCTGTACCGGGTGAGGGCAACGCGGGCGAGCCATGCCTCCGGGGCGTTCGGTGGAGCTCCCCATGGGGCCACGGAGCGTGTGAGGGGTTTGCCAAACTGGCCAGGAGGCGGCATGTGAACGCAGCCACTGGGGCATTCGGAAGAGCTCCCCATGAGGCCACGACGCGTGTGAGAGGACGAAACGTGTGCGAAAGGTGGGCCGAAGTCAACAGGAGGCGGCACGTGAACGCAGCCACTGGGGCCTTGGGTGGAGATCCCTATGGGGCTAGGCAGCATGTGAGGGGTGTGACAAAGTGGACAGGAGGCGGCATGTGAACGCAGCCACTGGGGCCTTGGGTGTTCCCTTTGGCGCCACGAAACGTGTGAGGGATATGCCAAAGTGAGGGGGTGACGGGAGGAGGGAGGAGGGTGAGGAGGAGAGCAAGGGAGGAGAGGAGGAGGAGGACACGGGGCACCGTCTCTTCAAAACGAACACCCAACACCACAGGATGGTTAAGACAACATCGAATTGCTTTGAAAACTCCCGTCAACGGGAACCTACGAAGCAGACGTCAACAACATCGTCGCACTCGGCCATGGCATGCAGCGCCCGCGGCGTTGCACGCACTGGACTCGGAGCTACGCCATCTGTGTCGAACCGGCTGGGGCCTTCTGTCTCGCAGTGGCTCCAGCGCAGCGGGAAGGGATGCGAAGAAGGGGGGGCGGACGAGGACCAGAAGGGCGGCATGCAGCGTGTGAGCGAGAAGCGGCAGAGGGACGAGGAAAAGGAGGACGAGGAGCAGGAAATAGAGGATAAATGGAGCAGGAGCAGAATACACATGTATGGAGAGGCGGAGGAGGACTGGAGGAGAAGGAGGTGGAGGCGGAGGAGGAACAACAATAGGAATAGGGAGGGGGAGGCGACGTAATAAAAGAGTGGGGGGGAGGACGCGAAGGAAAAGGATCGGGAGTAAGGCAAGGCGGCTGCCAACTAAAGCGCCAGCAGGGCGCAAGCTCTGAGCATGCGCAGCCCTGGCCACCCTCTGGGCTTTTAGGGCCCCCCTTCCACGCACTCTGGGTGGTCAGTGCACGGCATCCCATATGCAGCACCAGAGCACGGGCCCGAGTCCGAGCTCGAGCCCGAGCCCGAGCCGAGCCCGAGCCCAGCCCAAGCCGGACCAAAGAGCCGAGGCCGACGAGCCCGAGCCCGAGCGAAGCCCGAGCCAGAGCCCGACACCCCGCGCACCTCTCCGGCTTGCGGCTCGCGCTGCGGGTGGGAGGCGCAGCGCGTGGGGGCCTGGGGGGGGGGAGAGGGCGGCACCGCGCACAACCCGCGCGCGCGGCGGCTCTCTGCAGCCAGAGCCGAGCGAGGCCGCAGCGCGACGCCGAGGCGCGCAAGCGCGCAGGCGCCGCCGCGGCAGGAGCACTGCACCTCGGGCGCGCCGACCTGCACGGGCCAATCGGATGCTGCGCGCGCGCGCGGCCGCAGCGAGCGGCCCAGGCGGCGCACACCGCCGACGTTGGCGAAGCAGTGCTGCCGTGGGTGCACGCTGCGGGGCCCGCACCGCGGCAGCGCTCGGTGACCGCCCCAGGCCGTCTCTGGGCCAATCGGGCCGCAGGGGGGAGATGGCGAAGAGGGGCCACCGAATCAGCTCGCGCGCCTGCCTGCGCCTCCCAGCGGCGGATGAGACGGCTTGGTTTTCTTGCCAGCAGCGGTCGTTCCCCCCAGGGGGGGGGGGGGTCCGGGCCCCGGGCAACGAACGTTCGGGCGGGGTGGGGCGCGCTGGAACGGGGGTGCGCTGCATCGCCAAAATATGCGCGCGAGCACTGGCATGTGGGGTGTGCAGCCCCCCCGCCCCACGCACGATGGTGATCCGCCACCGTGCCGCGGGGCACGGAGTGGGCGTGTCCTCAAGTCCCTTGTCCAATCCGAGATCCCGAGCTGCCGCTGAGGCACGAGGCCGTGAGACTCGCTGCTCTGGTTGCTGCCATACAGCAGGGGGTGCATCACGCCAAGGAACACCGAGTGCTGACATCAGTCCGAATATGCCCAATGCTTGCACCACGACCGCCACGATTCAGACGGGCGGTACCCGCAGGAATAATCTCGCCAGCACTAGTCGCGCAACGTCTCAGCCTTGCCGATGTGGCGATGACCTCACATGGGCACCCACAACTCGTTCGCCAGCGTGGGCCCCGCTCAATGAGCTATTGCACTCTAGATATGTGGGCCATGAGGAACAAGCTTCGTGGTGCAAGCTGTGTGGTGCACACTGTGTGGTGCAACATGTGCTGCGTAGGCTATCATGTGCAAGCTCCGTGGTGCAAGCTCGCTCTGCAAGACGGTCGTAACAGTGCAGGCTGTGTGCTGCACGCCGTGCTGCGCAAGCCGTGTGCTGCGGGCTGTGTAGTGCAAGCTGTGCCGTGCAAGCTGCCTGGGCCACGCACCATACATAGCGCAGCGCAGTGCAAACCATTGGAGTGCCGCCCAGGGGCGGTGACAGAGCGCACGCCTTGAAAACCCCAGCGAGCGCACGAGGCGCCCCGTGCCCGCGGCGACCGCGCGAGCGAAGCCTCTGGGGAGCACAGCCAGCGCAACGAGGCGCCCACGGGGGCGCCCCAGGCAGGGACGGGGGGAGGACGGCCAGCGCGCGAGGCCGAGGGGCGTCCACCGAGGGCGACCGGGCGAAAGCCTGGAGAGCTCACTCCATCGCTTGGAAGCCAAGTAAGAAGCCCTCAATGCAAGCACCGCTCGGGGAAGTCGCCCGAACCTCCATTCGGGATCTCTGGCGGGGCGGCGCTCCCCCTCGCCCCTTGCCACGCTCGAAGTCACTGTGCTCCACGCTGCAGACCCGAGTCAAAATGGTTACGGACCCCTCATCCTCATCGCTCGTCCCCTTCCTCGTGGACCCTCCGCCTCCTCGCCCCCTCCCCCCCCCCGAGGCAGGGGCTACGAGTCCGTCAAGAACGGGTCCAGCGCGTCAGATCCCCCGGTGCCAGACTCCTGTCCCCCGCTCCGCCGCTGCCGGCAGGAGGATCGGGGTGGGAGGAGGATCGGGGTGGGTGGGAGGGAGGTGGGAAGAGGCATGATGAGAGAAACAAGAGTGAAGGGGCCCCAGGACACACAAATAAATACACACAAATAAAAGGATCCCCCATATTTTCCCATATTTTCTGGGTTTCTGTCTTCCCCCCCACTTCCCATATTTTCCCATATTTTCTGGGAAATCGCCGATTAATTGTGTCTGTGTGTTTTTTCCTCTCCTGAAAGAGTGCCTGCTTCTGCTGCTGCTGCTGCTGACGTGTCTAGGCTTGCTCCTCCCCGTTACCCTCCTGCTCCCGCCGATGCCTCGTCGGATGGCCTGGCGACGGCTAGCCGGAACTTCCACAGCATTAGTGACTGGGTGTCACTTGCGCACAGACAAGCTACACCACCGCCTTCCCTTCAAGGGGCGCCGTTTGGGCACGCCCCAGCATAAAACTGCGGACGGGGAGCAAGGGACGAGTGGCGAAACAAGCTGACGAGAGAGGATTAGGGATAATGACGATCACGAAAACCAACTGCCAATCACTCTACAGCAAACGAACTAGCTCATGTGCCTTGAGCTCGTCATCTCCCGTGCAGGCTCCGTGCTGGAGTCCAGCGGGCACTGCACACAAGCTCCGCAGTCAAACTCAAGGGGACAACCCGAGCAATCTCAGCAGCCCGCTGGGCATCGCTCGGACGTCCATTTCCTGTGCTTTCTTCGGTTTCGTGCGTGGCTTTTTCGCGAAATGATCAGGGATGCTCCTCGATGGTGCTCGCCGAAGGAAGAATGCACACGTCCGAGCGATGCCAAGCACGGTTCAGGGCCCCAGCTCTTGCAATCCAGCCCCCTTTCATCCCCTGCGGTGAGGGGCAGACCGCCTCCTCCCCACGAGGTCTGGAACGGGGGGAGGGGCGGCGGCCAGATGGAGTGTCCCATACTTCCACCTGCTCTCCTGGATGTGCCAAGGATTGCCCGAGATGGCCACGTGCTCCTTCCATGATGCCGCAGGGCTGCTCGAATTGGCCCAAAATGGCGTCCAATATTGCTGTACAGTCGGGGCGTTGACCTAAGGAACCCTAAATAAGGAACGAGGCCCTTTTTTTCCATAAGTTAAATTCGATTCCCCTATCGAAAACCTAAGGACAACCTAAGGCAAACTGCGAAACAATTAAGGAACACGGAGCCCCTCCCCAACGAAAAGGGTTCCTTGCTCAGCGCCCCGACTGTACGTGACGGGCCACAGGAAGGCCCACAAATAGCCCTGAGGTGGACCCCGAGCATGCGAAGGATGCCCCTGGTTGACGGCACTCATTGAAACCCACCGTTCTTCATTGACTTTCGCTGCCTCGCCTTCTCGGCTTCGAAACCGACCGTGAAGCCTCTGATTGCCCCGGGATGGTCCTACGTTGAAGAGGCGTCCAGGGTCCAGGGAGAGCAAAGGGCAACCAAAAGGGCCCGACGGGAGCCCCAACATTATCTAAAGGGGCATCCGAGAGTCTCCGAATTCGCATCATCGAGGGACTGGTTGGGTTGATCCACTCTTGGGTTTGACTGGTGCCCGCCCTCTTTGATCCACACATACCTCCTCAACTCCCTCTCCTGCGTTAATGTAAAAGTCGTTAATTTCTGACCCTGCTCATTTCAAATTGTGGTCGTTTCTGATTGTTCCGGGTCCCCGAATGGCCGGGAAGAGGCCCAGAACAGAATAATTAGAAGTGAGAGGATCTTGGCCCCAAAAAAATCAAATAACTCTCGAATAAGTAGGAATGACCCATGTGTACATCCTCAACTTCCCCTCCTGCGTTAACGTATGGGTCGGCGGGGGGCACGCGAGGCGCGAAGAGGTTGGCACAAGCCGAGCGGCGTCCGGCCACACACACGAGTGCGACTGGCCCACTCGAGGATGCGCCTGCTGTACATGCCACTCGCGAGAAACTGGCGGCAGAGTGACGTGCGAAGGCGATCGAGTAAATTACAGTCGGGCTCGATTGGAGAGGACACGCCAGAGGACACCAGACCCTTCCGAGGGCCACGCTGCCACAGGAATGTAGGAGGCACGGGTCGCGAGACACAGGGCACAAGGGTACCCTGAACTCGACAGGGTCGACCTCCTGATCTGGGCCGACTGTAGGCAACGGCCATCGATCGCTTGAAGTAGTAGGGTGCTAGAGGTAGATTGGGTCCTGGGATCCTGGGAGCCCGACAGTAACGTTTGCGGTGTCGTGCCGTTTCTTCTTCTGATTCTTCTGATTCTTCGGAGAGGGTGCTCGATCTGCCCCTTTTGATGAGCCTCTTTTTCCACCACCACCATCATAAGTTGGATGGGCAGAAGGAGGAGGACGAAGAGGAGGAGGACGAGGAGGAGGAGGAGGAGGAGGAGGAGGACCCCCTCCCCCTCCAACTTCTGGTGGTGATGGTGGAAAGCAGGCCCATCACTTTTGGCTATGACCAGAGTGAGGAGGCCGAGCGGTCTTGCACTGCGTGGGCTGCCGCGGGGCGGATATCCTCGTCGTTGCTGCAGGCCCCCCCGCCCCGCGGCGGGCCCGCCCCGCGCCCCAGACCCGCAGAGCCAACTCGCGCACAACCCCCACGGACCCGCCCTGCACGACCCACCCGCGAGCCACCCGCGGCCGGCCCGCGACCAGACCGGAGACCCCCCGCGATCCCCCGCAGCGTTTCGGATGTAGCGGGCCCGACTTATGGCCCCGGGAAGCCTGTCCAAAGAAGGATCGAAGCGGCCGCCCTCAAACCAGCCAAGGGGGGCCCTGCCCGACGCCTGTGCGCACAACAGGGCACTCCGCCCAGCACGCTGTCCCTGTTGAGTTGCGTCTTGCTTCGAACGCTGCACTTGGTCCGCTCTCACAAGCATCGCCCGACACGGTGGTCAGGGCTGCGATGCACGCGACGCCACCCCGCCCAGAAAGAACTACCCGCCGCAGGCGCCGAACCCTTTTCAAAACTCTTGAAAAGGATTCAGTGCCTGCGGCGGGTTCTGAAGCATCGGTTTGGAAGAACTGAAGGGGCCCTAGGACACACACACACACACACACGCACACAAACAAACAAATACGCACACAAATAACAGGATTCCCCATATTTTTCCTATATTTTCTGGGTTTCTGTCTTCCCCCCAACTTCCCATATTTTTCGTGTCTGCGTGCTTTTCCCCTCCTGCAACACACGCTGCTTCGGCCCCCCGCTCGATCGCCCCGCTGGAACGGACCTTCCCGCGCCTGCTCGACAAGATGCTGGCATCTGCGGTGCGCTGCTCTGCACTGGCTGTCAGGCACACCTCGGTTTTCGACCCTGCTCGCCCAACCTGCCGACGACCTGTCCATGACCACCTCGAATCGTTTCGAATAAACCGCTGCCGCCAGCGCGCTGCTCTGCCCTGGCTTTGAAAAGCACGATGGTTGGACCCCGCTCGCACGACCCGTCAGCGACCCATCCGTGAGAAAGCGATCGGCGCCAGCAGCGGGCTGTTCTACAAGTTTTACGTACAACACGATGAAACGCCGACGAGCCTTCCCGCAACCCACCCACATTGTCGAAACCACTGTGCGCCTGCAGCGGCCCGCCCGCCCCACAGGCTCTGATCGGCAACAGCTGGCTGCTGCGTCCAATTCTCACTGCTCTTCATGCAGCAGTGGGACCGGAGGGGGCCGAGGCCCTCGCTGCGGTCCCTCGGCCAACGGAGACGGACGTCGACGTGGGGAGGGGTGCCAACGTACCTCCACAACACTGACCTGAATACCTGAAGGCGCCAGTTGCCACCATCCAGTGCTTTCCTCCGTCCGCTCGCCTCCCCGTCGCTGTCGTCGCCACCGATGATGAGCTCGGGCGCCAGGAAGCCTTGCGTCCCGACCAACGACATCCTCCTTCGCTTCCTGCGGGGGGGTTGCTGGACGCCGCTGGGCATGAACATGTCACGAGCCTGCGTCCTACAACTCACGATGCTGAGGCCATCGGCCTTCCTCTTGCCCCTGTGATGTGACACCAGCCCTCACCATGATGCTTCACCTATCCCCTGTGACAGCACGTCGATGTTCGCGTCCCGACTGACCTCTCCACTTGGAGCTCCCTTGGGGCCTGCGCTGGATGTGCACCCGGCCAACGAGGGGAGGCGGGGGCAGAACAAGCACCCGTGCAGAGGAAGGTGGCCCGAGGGGAAGAGACAACGCCAACTGCGCATACGATGGCCCCCCTCCCCTCTGCCTCTGCAAGGGCCCCCAACTTCGCGCCTCGCGCCGCGCGAAGCGCGAAGTGCGAATCACTTCGCGCTCTCGCGCTGCCTCCCAGGGGAGAAGAGGATGAGGAGGAATCGGAGCCGAACCGCGAAGCGCGAACAACTTCGCGCCCTCGAGGGCGCCCCTGCCTCTGGACGCAGCTGGAACCAATGAGGGGCCGCCTCGGCCCTCCCCGCCCCTCTTGGCATTCGGAGAGACAGCCCAGCGCGGCGAGCCCTCGCAGCGCGGCCAGCCCTGCCGCCGAGCGGGCCCACTGCGACCCAGCACCCGCCGCAGGAGAATGAGGGGGGGAGAGGAGGGGAAGGGAGCACCGCGTACAGACGAGGAGGAGGGATGACGGCGAAGAGATCAGGAGGAGGAAGAGCGGATCCACGGTGTCTCTCTCCCGGGCCAGGTCGCAGCCCCCATCGCTGCCTTCCTGGAGCACTCGACCCCATGCCCGTTCGCCGCCCTGCTGCTGTGCCTGGGCTGCGTCGGAGTCGTTTCGGCGTTCTTGCACGGCGCGGCTGCGCGGTGCGAGACAGGCCGCGCTCTCTGACGCTACGGGCTAGAGCGGCCTGACAGCACGTCGAAGGAAACATAAGTACAGAGAACATGGGTACGATGCCCAACAGCACACGGTGTCCAACACCGGCAGCGGTCGCCATTTGGCGGGCAATCCTGTGTCTCAAATGGGCAGCGTTCGCGGCGACACCGAAAGCGAGTCCTCTTCGAAGTGGGCCCGACCTGCAGTCCGCATTCGTCGCCATCCTTTCCGCACCCATCTCGACTGCACCGATCGGATGCGCCACCTCCATCGACCCCCGGCCGCGGCTCGGCGAGAGGCCGCTTCCTGCCGCCGACGAACTTGGCGGAGCCGAAGTCCGCGAGCTTGGCGCTGTCGCTGAGCGGCGCGGAGGGGAGGAGCGGCGGGGAGAGTACTGGGAGTAGGAGGGCAGGAGCGGGAGGGGAGGGGCCCGGAGGGGAGCGGGAGGAGAGGGGAGGAGTGGGAGTGGGGAGAGGGAGGGGAGGAGCGGCGAGGGGAGCGGCGGGGGAGTCCCTGCGCAGGCCGCCCGAGGGGAGCCCCCGGAGGAGCGGCAAAGAGAGCACAGAAGGCCCCCGCTGGGGCGCCGCCATTGCGCGGCGAGGGTGGGCGGGAGGGCGGGCGGTGGCCGCAGAGGCGGCGGCAGGGGCAGTCCGCGCATGGCCCCGGGGCTCCCTCGCGAGGCGGGGGACCCTCGAGGAAACGGCCCTCCTCCTCCCGCCTCCCTCCTCCCTCCTCCCTCCTCCCGCCTCCCTCCTCCTCCTCCTCCTCCTCCTCCTCCTCCTCCTCCTCCTCCTCCTCCTCCCTCCTCCTCCTCCTCCTCCTCCTCCTCCTCCTCCTCCTCCTCCTCCTCCTCCTCCTCCTCCTCCTCCTCCTCCTCCTCCTCCTCCTCCTCCTCCTCCCCCTCCTCCCACGGCCGAGGTGCACATCCGGGGGAGTGCGAGAAGAACGCAAACCCGAGCGCGATCCTGCTGGCCACAGCACGGAGCCAAGGGGCCACGCTTCGTGGCCGCCCGACTCGCCTGGATCCAAGGGACCGGCTCGACGGGAAGGCGGGGAGGGTGGGGGGCACGACGGATGAGGGAGCAGGGGAGGAGGGCGGAGGGCGACCGCCAGGAGGGGGAGGGGGGCAGGAGGAGAGCTCCAGGCCGTGCCTCCAGGCGTCCTGTTTTCTTGCGCAGACGTGCCGAAGAGCTCCGAACTGCTTTCCTCGTGGTGCGTCGTGGTTCGTGGCTCGTCCAGTTGTCTCTGGTCCCTCCCCCCACCCTCTACACTGTGCCCCCGACACCATTCCCTCGATCACGCCCTTCGCGCGCAGGCATCGTACAGGACATCTCTGTGCGCGGGCGGCTGCAATACAGGGTGCCAACACCTGAGCACGTTCCGCGCTGGCCTTCGCGTCCATTTGCAACCACCTCTGGAGCTGGCCCCCTCCTCCAGCCCTGGCCCCGTCCCTGGAACCCCCGGCGCCAACTTACTTCGCCGCGGCTTCGCCGTTCATCGTGATTCGTGTCTGGTCCGTTCGTCCCGGCCCGCTCCCCACCGGCCACTGCCCCGTGCCAGAGCTCCACATCCCCGGGAGGCCTGCCGCGACCCTGGCCCCGTCCTAGGGGCCCTGGGTGCCCCGTATCGCGCTGCGCAAGTGAGTTCTACAGGTCGGAGACGTTTCGGTTCGTTGAAATCTGTTCGTTCGTCGCCCCCCTGGGGATCTCCTCCTCCCCTGTCTCGCTGTGACGGCCCCTAGCATGTCCCAGGACGGCCCCAAGCAGCTCCCCCTCCCTCACCCTGCTTCTCCGATCCCTCGCCGCTCCCTCGTGCAAGGCACTTGTCGAAGAAGGATATGGGAAACTCCAGCGGCTCTTTGAGACTTCTTCGGATGAAGCGGATGGAGGAGGAGGAGGAGAAGGAGGAGGAGGAGGAGGAGGAGGAGGGGGAGGAAAGACGAGAGCAGGCGAGGAATAAGAAATCAGAGGAAGAGGACAGGTGGATGAGGAGGAGTGGCACGTTCGACAGGGGGATAAAAGGGGTGAGTCAAGAGGAATACTACTGCACGTTCCACAATGCGGATACATAGGGGAATCAACAATCCACGAAACTTTATTGGGAAAGACTACGCTTAGCCAGAAAGTCCAGACGGAGAAGATAGGAGGGAACGAAAAGGGGATGCGAATCAACCAAATCAGAAAGGATTAGAGGAGGAGAGGGAGGAGGAGGAGGAAGAGGAGGAGGAGGAGGAGGAGGAGGAGGAGGAGGAGGAGGATGAGTGGGGTAGTGGGCGAGGAGGGATGCTAACGAGGCGAGGACACCAACCCGCTGGCATCCCCCATGGACGCGTGAACATTGGGATAAGCAAGCAACAGATAAATAACTCAGACCTCGGACGCCGTGTTCTGCAAATAACGTGGCCCGTTTGCGGGACTCCGTTCTTCATCCTGCACCGCTTTGTTGACGGCCCCGGGGTCCGGTGAGGGCCTCCGGGGGCCGACACCAGCCACAAGCGGTCCGCCGTGATTTCTGCTGCGGCGCGCAGACGCCTGGGAACACACCAAATCGGCGGTGGACAAACCTCTCTTTCGTAAACCTCCCCTTCGTGAAAACGGCCTAAAACCGAAACCGATGGACCTGGACCCGCAAAACTGACGGCCGCGACGCCCTCTCGCGAACCGAAAACGGCCAATTCCTTAATCGACGCGTCAGGGTAGGAGGTCTATCAACCTCCGACCTAAGGCTGTCGCGGTCCCACTGGGTCCCCTTCAAGACGCCGGTCCAGTGCACCCCCCCAAGACTGCAGCGTGGGCTCCCCAGGAATGCACGACGTTGGCGAGGGCGGCACGCCCGGCGGCACCCAGCGGATGCGAGAGGTCCTGCCTCCGCAGAATGCCATTCTGCTGGGGGCCCCCCGGGTGTGCAGGAGAGCGGCGGCGGCTGCACGTCTGCCGCCTGGGGGCCTCCCAGGGGAGGCGAGGGCCGGCGAGACAGCGCCAGGCGTCGCCCCATCCCCGGGGGCGCACGAGTCACGGCGACGGCTGCGCGCCTGGAGGCACCCGGCGGAAGCGAGGTCTCAGTGAGCCTGCGCAGGGCGTCGCTCCGAGTGACCCCACGGAGGCGCAGGAGCGCAACGACGGCTGCGTTACTGGCAGCACCCGGGGGTCGAGAGAAAAGTGTTCGACGTGGAAACCCCCGTGCATGCATCGCATTTCCTGGCGCTCCCCGCTGTGAGCGCCTGAGCGAGAAGAGTCCTAGCCTGGGGCGGCTGAGCGCTCCATGGCGGCTCATTCTTGGAGCGGTACGCTTGGTCGCGATATTCATGGGGCTCCGGAGGGGAAGGAGTCGCGTGTGGCAAACCCAGCGCTTCGCCTGAAACATCCTCACCGTCTGAGCGCGAACGGGTATGTGGAACAGCCTCTGGTGCACTGGTGGCTCCCCCTTGGGGTGCTCAAATGCCATGCCTGCTCCATCGCGGTGACCACGGGGCTCTCAAAGCAGAGCGGTCGGCGACGCCGAACGAGCGCCTCGCTCGAGACTTCCTCGCAACATGGCCGCGAAGGTGCAAGTGTCTTACCCCCTGGCGGCTCCCCATTGCGACAACGGGGCTCTCAAGCAGAGGAATCGGCGGCGACAAAGAAGAGTTTCGCTCGAGGCACCCCCACAGTGTGCACGCGAACGGGCATGTGCCCTACCACCTGGCGGCACCTCCTTGGGGTGCCCAAATTTCACGCCTGCTACTTCGCAGTGGCCACTAGCAGTTCTTAGTATGAGGAGCGAGTACGAATGGGTCCCAAGATGAACGACAGCGTGGGTTAGGTATGTCTACGGTGTGTGTGTGTGTGCTTGTGTGTATATCAGAACGTGGGTGGTCGGAGTGCGTCAACTCGAGTTCGAATGAGTCTGAATGTGCATTGATCTGAGTACGAATGGGACGATGAATGAGCCCGAGCACTGAGATGCAAGAGTTGGGAAAATTAGCCGACGAGTGTGGATAAATCTGAGCATGACTACGCCGAGTTTGACTGGGCCTGAACCTGACTAAGCAGCGCTTAGCCTCAACGTGGGAGGGAGGCGGGTAAATGAGGAGGCGGAAGGGCGGAGGCGTCACACCAACACCATCTCAGGGTAGAAAATACCAAGAGACAAAGAGAGCGGGAGAGAGAGAGAGAGAGAGTCAGAGAGAGAGAGAGAGAGCGAGAGAACAACAACAAAAAGTGGCAGAGAAAGAAAGAGAGGTAGAGAAACCGATGGTACATATGTGCATCCGCCACCGTGCCGCTGGGCACGGGGTGGGCGTGTCTTTTGGTCCTTTGCCCAATCCTCTGCGCATGCGCATGCGAGAGGAAACGTTGTGCCTCCGAGAAGGGGAGGGGAGAGGAGGAGGAGGAGGGGGCGGTCCTCACGCGTGAGTGCAATACTCGACGAATGTTTTTCTCATCGCGTATTCGTACGACATCATATCATCGATATACAGTATGCCAAGCATCGCATGCAAATCCTTGAAGACGGCCAGCGCGGCCGCATAGCGCCGTGCGTGTAGCGCGGGCTCCACAATACGTCTTGTTGAACCCAGTCGTCGTCCGACCAAGCTGCCCAGAGCGCAAATGTGGACATGCGGCGACAAATTCGTTCACTCCATTTTCCAATCGGGAAGATATGCATTGCATGGCCGATCCTGCCCCTCATTCGTCTCATGGTGTCTGCCCACTCCTCATCTTCATAACGACTCCACCCAAACGGTCGAACGAAACATCTTGTTTTGAAGGGCGTCCAAAGGTTGCATTTGCTGCTTGGTCAAAGCCGCGGCTGATAGTCCAAACAAAAAGTTTGGCGTAATGACCGACTGGACTAGCTTGAGCCGCAATCATAATAATGCGTTCTGGTTTGTAGGGACGTAGTGTTGCTCATGAAATGCGCGCCAAAATCGTCGGAGTCTCTGCCCCAGCTCGATAGCGCTACGGCTCTCCAGGTTCGCCAGAAAGCTCCTTCCTAAATACTTGCGAACACCCCCTCAATGAACAAATTATGCGCGCCTTTCTCCGCGCCTTCCTCCGCGGGGCCAGTTCTCCGACTGGATGGACAAATTCTCCGGCCAAATTGCCCTCTAAGCCTGAACCCTCGCTACAGCGGTTAAGGCGCCCAGACCCTAAATTCGAAAATCTGACGGGAATTGCCGCGTGACCCCTGGGATTTGGGAAGCGTTGCTGCGCGCATTGGTCTGCCCGAAAGGGTTCCAAGACGGGCCAGGATGACCCCCCGAGGCTCCCAAAACGGTCCAAAAGGGCCCCGAATCGCCGAAGAATCGCTCCAAGACCTCCAACAGGCCCCCCAAGAGGGCCCGAAGAGGCCAGAACGAATCACTGACCTCCTCT